CCCACTCAAGGTTAGCACTCTACCACTTGAACAATGGCTCCACTTCTGGCTTTTTGGTAGTCCATTGGTGATAGGAGCCTCATGGACTTTATTGCCCAGGCTGGCTTTGAACTGTGATCCTGCGATCTCAATGTCACGTTTGCTCTTTAGAGACAGGACTGACTTGTTCATTCACTGATTATATGCAATCTATGTAACAATATAGTAGCATTCAATAGACAATTCAGTAATCTGTAGATCATTTGGTAATCTAGCTAGCTGGCTACTTTTGTTTGTCTGCGACTGGGACTCGAACTAGATATGGGAAGCTTTTACTTGTTGGCTGGTGCTCTACCACTTGAACCATGCCTCCAACTCATGATGTAGTCATTCACTGGAGTCAAGCTTTCCTTAAGGGCTTGGCTCTACCTCCTTGTGGTCATGTAAGCTGCTCGCTGAGACTCAGCTTCTCCATCTGTGAAGTGGATGATGGCCCAAAACTCCACGCCCATGGAAAGAGGGAAGGAGGAGCCAAGACGCAGCATGGGAGGCGTTTAACACCCATTCATGATGCCTGGTATATATAATATAGATAATACGTACATTATCTATATAGCTGTGTATGCTAGTTATGCATATGCTGTACACACCATCACGTGTATCTACTCTATGATATACTGCATCATATATTATGTATCTATTACAGAATATACAATTGATAATATGTATTTACATATTTCACACATTACATTATATTATGTTACATATGCATTATATATTATAATGTGTAATATACACATTTATTATATCTGCTATGTATCATGTATTACATATACTATACACATTAGATAGTATGTTATACATCGATATATTATGTAGTTATTCGCAGTTATATTTATGTTATACATAACATATGACATAAGACTTACTTGTTACCTATAACATATATTATGTGTATAACATAATATCTAATATATAGTATATATTATATAATATGTGTACATTACAAATAATATATATAATTAATGTGATTAGTTGCACATTTATATTTATGTTACACATAACATGTAACATAAGATATATTTATGTTATATATGACATATAATATACATTTTATATGTGCTATATATAACTATGATACATATCATATAGAGATATACATCTATATTTATGTTATACATAACATATAACGTAAGATATATTTATGTTATGTATAACATTGCATGAGTATATAACATATACATAATAAATATACATAAATTAAGCTCTATGTTATATATGATATATCAGCAAGGTACTTGTTGCTTGTATCTGTCCTCCTAGCTACTCAGGAGGCTGAGATCTGAAGGATCGGGATTCAAAGCCAGCCTGGACAGAAAACGGTCTCTGGAGTCCATCTCCAAAATAACCAGCAAAAAAACAAATCAGGGCTGGAGACGTGGTTCAAGTGGTAGAGCACCAGCCTAGCCAGCCAAGTGAGCCAGGATCCCTGAGTCCAAACCTTAGTACCCCCAAACAAAACCAAGAAAATAAAATACTAAACACACAAACAAACAAACACAAAAACCCCAGAATGTCGGATCCTAGGAAAAGCCACAATAATCTGGCAACTGCACCCCTGGTTCAACCTTGTCCCAGCCATCTGTCCAGTGGCTGAATTCACCGAGGCTCCCTTGGGCTGCTCTGAAGCATGAGAAAGACAGCAGATCATTTTAAAGAGAGCGTGGAGGATGGGAGGAAATGGGGTCAGGAGGAGGAGGGGGGCGTCGGGGCAGGCCGCTGGGAGCCTGGCACCTGCCAGCAGCCCTGGCTGGCCGCTCTCTCTCCTCCTCCCTCTGCTGCAGGGCTGAGCCAAGGGCACAAGCGCACAGCTATTTTTGTCTTGTGCGAGTCTAGCTCATAAAAATACAATCGGGCTCTGCCCTGGCACGTCTGTCCCCGAATCTCTTCTTTCTGCCAATCCCCGGGGCCAAGCTGTGTGCAGACCTCCCCGTGGCTCAGGATGCTGGGAAATCGTATTTTCAATGGTGATCGTCTGTGTTTTTATACTCCCCTGCGGTCATCTGGCTTTGGCAGTTATTAATCATGGGGAAGAGGTGACATGGCTGGAGACTTGAATTGAGACCCCCTTAAGGATCATGCAGCAATGATCGTCACGTAAAAATGAAAAAGAAACGCAGATGATCTCAAAGAGGTTCACAGAAGAGGAAAATCAAGGCAGGTGGTTGACCACTCCCCTCCCCCCCGCCATCGTCGTCAATCTGGAATTTCGTTTTCTTCCAGAATGTCTATCAAATCTTAATTTTAGTGATTGAAAAAAAAGACTATGGACAATTTTCCCCCACTCCTCTCTTTCCTGCTCTCTCTCTTATCTCTCTCTTCATTTTTGTTACAAATCAAGGTGTTCAGGGCATTGTGTGTGTGTGTGTGTGTGTGTGTGTGTACGCGCACATGTGTGTGTTATTTTTTATCACAAGAAAAAGAATATCCAGAATAGAGTTTTTCTTCCTTTCTCTTCCCTTCCTTCCCTTTCCTTCTCTCCTTTGCTCTTCACTCCCTCCCCCTCCTCCCATCCTCCCCCTCCCCCCTCTCTCCCCCCTCCCCCTCTCTCTTCCTCCTCCCTCTCTCCCTCTTCTCCCTCCTCCTCCTCTCTCCTCTCCTTCCCATCCCTTCCTTCCTGTCATCTTCCTCCCCCTTCCTCCCCCCCTTTCCTTCTTATGCAGTCAGATTCCTGCAAGGCAGAACTAATAACAATTGGCTGACATTTGCATTCTTCTTCATAGATTTTTTTTTTAAAGTAACTGCTGCTGTATCTTACATAAAAATCAAAGGATGCTTCTGTCTCCCAGCCTGGGAGTGAAGCCTGGAGCTTCTGACAGTTCCCAGTGATTGGGGGATGGGAGGAAGAGGGGGACATGTGGAGGGGGAAAGGAGGGGGGAGACACTGTACTTCCCCCATCTCACCCTCTCCATCCTGCAGAGATTCGCTGTGGCTGAGGTGGCTGCCATGCTGTCCTCTCAAGTCCCATCCTTCTTTAGATTCTTGCTGCCCCCTCGATTTGCTCTTCCTGGGGGCTGCATGTCTGTCCCCTGTCCCCACCTGGTCCCGTTCTCTGTCCGCTCAACGCAGCTTCTTCATGAGTCCCCTGGTATCTTCCATGTGCCTGGCTATTTCCGATCACTCCTTTTGTCTCCAATGATGATATGAAGCCAGCCAGTGTGGAAGCTGGGGAGAGAGTCACGGAGGCCCTGGGCTGGGGAGGGGACAGTCACTGGATGGTGTCCACCTGGGAGGAAAGTGGATGGATAGAAAGATGGACATGAGGATTGAGGAAGGGTCACGGGCAATTCCTACATTCGTGGTACAAACAAGGGCGTGGTAACGCTGTGATTATCTAAGCTCCATTGCCACAAGAATAGGGAGGGAAAGGTGGCGTGTGGCAGGTTCATTGGGATCCTCGAGTTTGATGGTGGCCCCGGGAATTCTATGACTCCAGGAACAATGTCCAGTAGGGCGAACCATGTGTTGAGTAAGGTCCGAATGGAGAAATGCATTAACGAGTCCAAAAAAATAAAAGGTGAAGTTGACCATGAAAATACACCGAGCAGGGCTTGCAGAAGAGGAGGAGGGTAGCCGTGATCTCTTGTTTGGAGAAATCCCAACATGGCGTGTTGCACGGGAATTCGATCGTGAGACACAAGAGAATCCTCATTTTGAGAGGTCACGTTGGGAGTCTTTATTAGAAAGCTGGTCTTTCTAATAAAGAGCGGACACACGGCTCCCAAAACATTTGCAGCCTTGAATACACTTAACACGGATAGGAAACTGAGATATGAGCGTGAGAGAGGCAAGAAAGAGCAGAAAAACAATGTCAACAGACCCGATCAATTCTAATGGAGGGCTAAATGGGACATCCTGGGACTAGAGGGGAGTCAGGAGACACAAGGCATTGCACAAGAAATGGTGGCTGAGCTGGTTGGGCCCCAGACAGGGTTATGGTGAGGGGGCAGGGTCACAAGTTGCTCAAGAGTTCAATGAGTCTCATGAGTTCATCGTACAGGTCTGGCAGGTCCACTCACCTATTGACCAAGCCCCTGCCCTGCAGCTAGGAAATCTGGCACACCCATCACCTGGGGGGTGAGACTTCACCTTCATCCACCAAGAAGCCAAGATGACACCCATTAGACCCAATTCCCCATCATCCACCAGGTTGCCAAGATGGTGCCTGTTAGACCCAGTAGCCTTACTTCAGAGAGCTCAGGGATGAGAGTTGGATCTTGAGGAAGGGACAGAAAGGATTGGGCCATGGGGGAGAAAAGAGACACAGAACAAGATGGCGGCACATCCAAGGGAGGAGAGGATGGGCTAACCTGACCCATAATGTCATGTCCACATAAATCTACCCTACATTGGAAACACCATCGCATAAGCCAGAAGTGCATAGAATACACCTTGCCTTCCAAGCACCCTAGCTCAACAACAGAACACACTCCAATAATCTCCCCCACCACCCCACGATCACGTGGCCAACTGAGTGCCACGTTGCTGCTTCTGCCCAGCAATTAAACACACACAAATAAAAGTGTTAAAACCAAACACTGGTGGCTCACGCCTATCATCCTAGCTACTCAGGAGGCTGAGATCTGAGGATCATGGTTAGAATCCAACCTTCTCCCTGAGCAGAAATGCCTGAGAGACTCTGATCTCCGATGAGCCAGAAGTGGAGCTGTGGCTCAAGTGGTAGAACGCCAGTCTTGAATGAAAAAGCTCAGGGAGAGCACCGAGGCTCTGAATGCAAAGCCTAGGACAGACAGACAGACAGACAGACAGACAGACAGACAGACACACACACACACACACACACACACACACACACACACACACACTACCTGCATGAATATCCCTATTGGAATGGGGAAGGATAATAGGAGTAATTCGAATTTTGCCATTCTGTGTGTGATTAGGGGGTGTATGGGGACATTTGGTCTCCATGCTTCCTAACCCTGGCTGAACTTTCCAGGTGATCGTGAAAACAAGAACAGAGTATCAGCCGGAGCAGAAGAACAAAGGGAAGTTCCGGGTGCCGAAGATCGCGGAGTTCACGGTCAGTGTGGGCGATGGGAAGAAGTCACAGTGACCACGGAACAAGACTCGCTGTGGTCAGCTCCAGGCACACACCACCGTGGCTTGAGGAACAGGCCTGACCGGGCAGGGGGCAGGGGCGGGGAAGGACACAGCCCATGGGGGAGCATTTCCTGAAGCCATGAGCTCCTCCCTCTCTTCATAATCCAGCATCTGGTGGCAAATGCCCCTCCCCTTTTAATGTTCAATTCAACATGTCAGTTTATGAGTGTGATGCATCTTGATCAGTGTCCCCTGTCCCCCCGTACCCCCTTTCTATGATCTTCTATCTCTCCCCACCCCATCCCTTCCCTGGGTCCATTTTCATTTGTGTACTTTGGATATTACGACTCCATTCGCCTACCTTTCCTCTCTCTGTTCATCCGCTTCCTCCTCTTGAACCCACCACTCCATGTTACAAAATACGTCCCAGCTGAGCGTTGGTCTGTCAGCCTAGCTACTCAGGAGGCTGAGATCTGAGGATCGAGGTTCAAAGCCAGCCCGGGCAGGAAAGTCTGGGAGACTCTGATCTCCAAGGAACCACCAGAAAACCGGAAGTGGCACTGTGGCTCAAAGTGGTAGAGTGCTCGCCTTGAGCTGAAGAGCTGAGGGACAGCGCCCAGGCCCAGAGTTCAAACCCCACGACTGACCAATATATATATATGTATACATTGCAGCTTTTCACTTGTTCATGTAAGTTAGTTGTTCAAAGGAGTTCCGTCATTGAAAACCCCCCCCATGCCTTTACTGTACTTTAGCGAATATATTTGTATCTTCTTGCACAGGATCCTGTGTATGCTGTCAGTCATGTTTTTCATTAGATCCAGCTTCCACCTAGGAGAGAAAACACACTTTCTTGGTCTCTCTGAGCCTAATTTACTTCACCTGGCACCTTCCCCCCCCACTCCAAGTCCATCCATCTCCCTGAAAATTATATATTATTCCTCTTTTTTTTTAAATGCTAACCATTGCTTTTTATTGTTAGGATAAAGGTGATGCACAAAAGGGTTACAGTTACATAAGTCAGGTCATGAGTACATTTCTTTTTTGGACAATGTCCCCCCCCCCTTCCCTCACTCTCTCCGTTTTCTCCCATGTTCCCTCACCCCCACCTCCATCTAGTTTCCGCATTCTTCCTCTTCCTGACGGATGAATAAAATTCCACTGTAAATATTTATATAACATCTTCTCGACCCACTCATCCTTTGCGGGGCATCTGGGCTGTTTCTATAACTTGGCGATCAGGAATAGAGTCGCGAGGAGTGTGGAGTGTGAGCATCTCTACTGGATCCAGACTTGTCATATTCTGGGTAGATACCCAAGGGGCATGGCCGGAGCACAGTGGAGCTCTGTGTTTAGTTTGCTTTTCTTTTTTTGAGGAGGAAAGAGTCATAGGGCTTGAACTCTGGGCCTGGGAGCTATCCCTCAGCTCTTCAGCTCGAGGCGAGCGCTCTACCACTTGAGCCACAGCGCCACTTCCATTTTTCTGGTGGTTCATTGGAGATGAGAGTCTCATGGACTTTCCTGCCTGGGCTGGCTTTGAACCGTGATCCTCAAGTCTCAGCCTCCTGAGTAGCTAGGATGACAGGCGTGAGCTCCTGGCTCCCGGCTGTGTTTAGTTTTCTGAGTAGTCTCCGTACTGACTTCCGTAGCGGCCACACCAGTTTGCATTCCCACCAATGGTGTGATCGGATATCTTGTATCTCACCCCCCCCTCACCTCCCCACCAGCATTTGTTACTGCCCCCAGTGCTTGGATGAATGTCTCTTTTATTCCTTCATGTCTTTCCTGCCCTTTCTCGCTACAGAAATGTCTACACAGAGTCAAGTGTTAGTCAGCTGAGGTGATTGTACCAGATCCAAAAGAGCTAAAGGTGTGGGGAGCTGACCTCTCGGGGCACAGACCCAGGGGTTGCTTTTCCGTTTTCCTGGCAAGAGGGGTGGTGTGGGGGACTCGTGAGGCTACGTGCTGGGTTGTGACTAGTCACAAGTTGCAGCTGCCAAGCGTGGCTGTGACACAGAAGGATGCACCTTGGGGAGGCCACTTGGGAGCCTTAAGATAGAAGACGGGCATGAACGTTCTGTAGATGCCAGGATGTGGTGGGTGGCTGAGCACATGCAGCTTGTGCAAAGGCCCTGAGGTCAGAAGTATGTCAGCCACAGCAGTCAGAACTAGGGCAATGAATGTGGACCGAGCCCCTGCTGCCATCAGGTACCTCTGGAAATGAACACACACAGGTATGAAGCGAGGGTGGGGGGAAGGGAGGAGGAGGAAGAACTAGATATATGGTATGTGTGTGTCAGGCCACAGGGCAAAAGCTTGACTCACTCTGGACATGGAAGGTACAAGAAGTCAGCCAGAGCCAGAAGGTTTACTAGCCTGGCATCAGTAGCTCAGGCCTGTAATCCTGGCTTCTCGGGGAGCTGAGATCTGAGGATCGCAGTTCAAACCAGCCTGGGCTTTGGGAAAGTTCGAGGGACTCCTGTCTCCAATGAACCACCAGAAAAGCCAGAAGTGGAGCTGGGGCCTTAAGTGGTAGTGTGCCAGCCTTCAGTAAAAGAAGCTCAGGGACAACGCCCAAGCCCTGAATTCAAGCTCTGGGACCAGCAAAAATTAAAAAACCAAAAACGGGGAGCACTTGGATTTGTAGGCAGGATGAAGTTGCCTGTGGCCCCACTCTGTCCAGCCTCTTGTCCCGTGTGTCCATTGTTGTGTGAGCCACCTGCCAGAGGTCATTTGTGGATCATTTGGTGACTCTATTTACCGCCGTGGTATCTGTGCTCAGGCAGTCATGGAGGTGAGATTTCCCAGAGTTGGTTTCTTCTGGGAGGAATGCCGTTGGGCTGGGGGAGAGGGGGGGGAGAGGGGTGCCTTCCATCTGGATGGGGAGAGGAGAAAGGAGGCTGGGGAGAAGCCCCAAGAAGTCATGGAGATGGTGGTGGGGTGGGGGAAGAGAGGGAGTCCCAGCTAAGGATGGAGATTCCAGCTAGAGAAAGGGGGCTGAAAGCCCAGAGATTCACAGTGAGCTTTAGAGAACTGGGGTTGGCAAAGTTTCTGGGTTCCCTTCCCCTCCGCCCCGGAGACATGGTGCAAAAACAAGGTAGTGTGGGGACCACTGACACCAGCTCCTTTGTCAGATTATGAATAGACACTCAAGGAACAGAGGAGATTTGCATCAAGGCCTTTTCCTTCTGCACCAACATGATCCTCCACTCTCTGCAGGGCTAGGCAGAGGGGAGGGAGGGGCGGGGGCACGTGGGGGGAGTCTTTGCTCAGTTACCTTCAGGCAAGGAGTGACATCATCCCTTCTCCTGGTTGCTAAGGAGTCAGGCTCACATTGTTTAACAGTTGGTTACCGGGGCGATGGGGTATCACAAGGAAGTTAGCACTGGGGAAGGCAAACGTTCTTCTCATCATGGCTGTTGGTTACTAAAGCCAGTGGGAAGTTCCCACTCGAGGGAGCATCTATTCTTAAAAACTCAGACTTTTGACGTGGCTGGCTGGCTATGAACAGCACGGATGATTGTTACAGTTGAAATCAAGAAGCAAATAATTCTGTGAGATAGAAGAGCCCAGGCCTATCAGTACAGAAGACTGACTGGTTACAAGATGGAGACTTTATTTTTATTTTTAATTTTTAGGGTTTTTTGGCTTCGTGTCCATCCAAACAAAGCTCAGTAAGTAGATTCTGGGCCAAGTTGTGAATAAGTCTCTGACTTGAGGTCTTCACCACAGTTCTGGTTTTCTATGGAGTGTTGGGGCCGCTGGAGCCAGGACACCCACTTGTGTGTATGTGTGTGTGGGGGGGTGCTCGAACCAGTGGTTAGACTGTTGGGAGCTTCATTCTAGGGAATGAATCATCTTTACTGGATTGACTGTCACCACCAGGCTGCGTTTTCAAGGGGGAAAGTCAGGTCTGGTACCCCTGGGTCACCTGCCTCGCCAGGAATACTATCCTCCTCCTCGCTTCCCCGTCCCCCCCCCATGCCAGCCCTAGCTCACCCATCTCTTGCTCAACCCCACCACCTATGACAGGCCAGATTTGTCTTTTGCTTGAGAAATTTTTGATGGCTCCTTCCTTGCTACACACAGCAATGTAAAATCACCAGCCCAGTGGGTCCGGGCCCCTACACCATTCATGCCCTGACAGTTCTGTCTTATTTCCAGGCCAGCCCACGTTTTCTCTCTTGTCACTCAGCCCAGATCTGGTTTGTCCTTGTGCCCCCCTTCTCCTGCGATTGTGTCCTTGTTTCTTCTGAGAATCAATGTCTAAACCTGGGCACCTCACAATCTCTGTCTTTTCCTCTGCTCTCTCATTCCTGACCCACCTAAAGTGGTGAATTACCTCTCTCGGCATGGCCCTGCTAGGCTGGCTGGGGCATGGGTCTGAAAGATGATTGTGGTGTGAAGCTTTCTCAGATCAGATAGGGCAGGAAAACAAACACCTAGGTGGAAAGTAAAACAACGCATTGTAAATTAAAACACATAGCCACCAGTTCCATCTTCATTCTGCTCCCATAGGCCAACCTAGGTGGGTTGCTAGTCCATCTCACTTTGTGTCCGGGAAGTCTGTGATGGGCAGATCACAGCTCAGGAGGAGAATGGTCACCTCCCGTGCTTAGAATCACGCAGTCAATAAAGGCCAATATGGGTCAATAAGGGTCAGAAGCCAGACTTTTCTGACCAGAGGGGTATGTATGTGTGTGCAAGGGGTGAGTTCGTGTTTGTGTGTGTGCATGCACATGAATGCATGCTGATCATCGTTCAGTCCCAGGAAATCTGCATGTTTAGGAAAGGCTTACATTAAATGAAGATTAACAGTGATGGTTACATTTATGAAAAAAAAATCCTGCATAACCCTGCGCTTGTGGAGTGTCGGGTTGGTTTTGTTCTTTTCTCTCTCTTACTCTTGGAATTCACTGTTTGGCCAAGTCCTGACAGGGATGGTTTCAAAGGAGAGAGAGAAAGGGAAAGGGAGAGGAG